TACTACCAACAGGAGAGTGGGTTTGTATGTTTGTTTGGGGGGGAGAAAACCTGGATTTGTGCTGAAAATGGCCCAACTTGATTATCTTACACATTGTAAGGAGAGTGATCACTTTAGATAAGCTATTACCAGCAGGAGAGTGGGGTGGGGGGAGGTATTTTTTTCATGCTTTTTGTGTATAAAAAGATCTTCAATACTTTAGTTACATTTTGAGACCTATCAGTTAGCCTGTTTTTAATCCATGTAATGTGGGACACGTTAACTTTCTCTTGTTCAATTTTTTAATCACAGTGTCATGCGGTACCAAGTCAAATGCCTTACAGAAGTCTAAGTATATTACATCAATACAACATTATATTTTAGCAACCAAACTTGTTATCTCATCATAAAAAAATATGAAGTTCGTTTGACAGGCTGTATTGTCCAAAAACCCATGCTGGCTTGCATTAATTACACTGCCCTCCTTTAATTCTTTATTAATCAAGTCCCACATCAGCTGCGTCATTATCTTGTCTAGGATCAATGTCAAGCTGAGAGGCCTGTAATTATCCACGTCATCCTGTTTACCCTTTTAAAATATTGGCACATTAGCTGTCTTCCAGTCTTCTGGAACTTCCCCAGTGTTCCAAAAGTTAATGAAAACCAACAGTTCAGGGATCTTCTCAGCCAGGTCTTTTAAAACTCTTGGATGCAAGTTAGCTGGCACTGCTAATTTAAAAATGCCTAACTGATTTTAAAATACCTGCTGTTTAATCTAACTTTAGTAGCTGCCATTTTTTGCAACAGAGTTGCATAAAGCAGCAAGTCTGCACCATGGAGTTCTGTGGCTAGAGTCAGCTGGATGCAGGATTAAAGATGGAACCAAGGCAAGACAGGGGATTAGTGGGGAACCTGAAGACTCTGGGAGGAGCCGCCACAAGGATGGAGCAGCAGGGAGAACTATGGGGAAAAGTCCAGAATCCCAGTTCCTGTGCAGCATCCCCTGCCAGAACAATGGCTCATGCACCAACTTCAGGGATGCTCTGCTTCTGGCAGAGCAGGTCAAGCACTCGCACCCGGATCTCCTTGATCTTCACACTGTACACAATGGGATTCAACATGGGTGGCACCAGGAGGTAGAGGTTGGCCAGGAGGATGTGGCCATGGTGGGGGACGTTAGGGCCGAAGCAGTGGGTGAAGGAGAGGAAGGCCAGCACGTAGAAGCTGGTGAAGATGCAGATATGGGCCCCACAGGTGCCAAAAGCCTTGAGACAGGCGTTCCTGGAAGAGAGCATCAGCACAGCCCTGAGGATCAGGATATACGACACCATGATGAAGAACTTTCTGTCAAAAAATAGAGCTCTAACGACCCACTTCTTGAAGCAGGAGTCAGCTCTTGTTCCGTGCCTGTCCCAGGCCTGGCACCTGAGTGCTGCTGGGCCCCACGCATTCCCGCAATACAAAGAACAATAGGAATAGCTTCCTGTCTCACGCACGCAGTAGGTGTCTCTTGGTGCCTGGGCCAACAGAGCAATAGATACAGAGGGAGAGAGAGCGCGTGAGGATCCATGGGATATAAGGGCAGCTAGCAGCATACAGGCTGTTACTGACCAGCGGCTTAGGCCTGAATACTAATGTGCATGAATACAAGTTCCATGTCACCCACCCATCACCAGCTATTCTGTCTCTGCCCCGTGTCAGACAGACAAACTATCTGAGCAAAGTAAGGTGACCAGATAGCAAATGTGAACAATCCGGGGGGAGGTTGGGGTAATAAGTGCCTACATAAGAAAAAGCCCTGAATATTGGGACGGTCCCTATCAAATCAGGACACACTAGAGCAAAGCTTCCGCGAGTTTTACAGAGAATCAACGAGCCCCGTTTTTGTATCCCTCTGACTAGGCATATGCCGTTTTGGGATCTGCTCTCAGAGCTGCTCCCACTGGAAAGCCAGGCACCCAGAGCTGTCCTTAGGCGTACACAGCATACCTAGGGCACCAGAGCATTTGAGGCACCCCAGGTCTTAGTGTCCACCCCCCACCTCTTCCTATCCCTGTTCTGACACTTCCTGCAGACTCCCACCACAACTGGCTGCTGCAGCCTGGTGAGTCTTCCTCTGTAGGGGATCTAGTACTTACAAGTGAAAAAGAATTAGCTCAACATTGAAACTGTTAAAGAGCCATTCAAGTGGGAATAAGAACAGGAGTACTTGTGGCACCGTAGAGATTAACAAATTTATTAGAGCATCAGCTTTCGTGGGCTACAGCTCACTTCATCGGATACATAGAATGGAACATATAGTAAGAGATATACACACATACAGAGAAGTTGGAAGTTACCATACAAACTGTGAGAGGCTAATTAGTTAAGATGAGCTATTAGGTAATGAAGCCATTTAACAGGCATTTGCCGACCCCCAGGTATCTACTGTCAGTTTCTGAACGTACTGAGGAAAACAGTTGTGCATGACTGTTATATTTACTCAGAACATGTCAGTCTACAGGACCTTAGTTTAAAATTTGCTTTAAAACTATTTCATTAGCATGTTACTGAAGACTATAAAATCACGTCTCCAAAAAATCCTTGCATAGATTTATAGATGCACAATCTGGGGATTCATCGTCAGCCTTAAATGCTTGGATCTTCAGACGTATAGATTTTTAAATAAATCCTTCAAAAGACCACCCTTATCCAAACTACACATGTGAGCCCGGGCTGCCGTCAGGCATAGGGGCACCAGTTTAATAATACCGCATAGGGCCCCATAAATCCTAAGGATGGCCCTGCTGCCTCCCCCCCCCCCCCGCACCCCCCTTCTAATCCTACAGTGTGCCTGCTTTTACCCCCGATTGGCCACGAGATGTCAGCGCTTAAAACTGAGACTGGCCCAGGTCTGAACGTTGCCCGTCCTGGGCCTCGGGCCAGTGTAATGTGGGGAGAAAGTTCTACATTTGGTGGGAAGGAAGGAACCCTTCCTCTGGCAGATTGTGTCTTAGACGGTGGTGGTTGTTGGAAGCTGCTCAGAGGTTTGGGGTCTAGAAGGAGCCCTGGCAGAAACGGATTGGCATGAGTAGGGCCGGGCAGGTAGCCACATGGCTCTGCAACTCATCACATGAGCAGCACCACCCCGGAGCATACCCATCCTGTGTTCTACCAAAACCTCCGCTCTGCTCCTATTGCCTGGGATAGAGTAGCAGGCTGTAAGGATCAGCACACACCCGCCCCCCGCCCCATGTACAAGCAGGGGGCGGGCGCAGCCCTTGCAAACTTCAGGGGTTATGTCAGACGAGTTAAGTGCTTGTGAAAGGTGCTGGCTCGACAGCTGTGGAGATTTAAGTCGTCCCGTGCCTGGTCTCAGCCACGGCCCCCCGCCCCCCTGCCCCTGCATGGAACACCCACCACAAAAGTCAGTGCACACTTGCAAACCGTGTCACTGCCTAAAGGTCCCATTGCGTGTCCCCTGCACTGATCCCCAAGGAGCACTAACAGAGCTACACCCGGGCACAGGGAGGTGCAAATACCGCTACGGGGTTAGAATCCCCTGGGCCTGTGAGCGCCCCTGGCCTTGGGTTTGCCACCCTCTCTCCAAGCTGCAAAGCCTGTCTCCTGGCTCAGGGTGGGCAGAGGGGCAGAGACTATAAGTTAGGGAAGTCATTACTACTGGGGCAGATAATTATTAACTAATTTGACTGGGCATCAATTATTGATTTATATTATAGAACCATAGAAGTGTAGGACAGGAAGGGACCTCTTTAGGTCATCTAGTCCAGCCCCAGGGACTGAGGCAGGACTAAATAGACCATCCCTAACAGTTATTTGTCTAACCTGTTCTTTAAAAACTCTAGTGACAGCGATTCCACAACCTCCCCGAGTAACTTGTTCCACTGCTTAACCACCCTGACAGTTGGGAAGTTTTTCCTAATGTCCGACCTAAACCGCCCTTGCTGCAATTTAAGCCCTTTGCTTCTTGTCCTGTCCTCAGTGAACAATTTATCACCCTCCTCTTTATAGCCACCTTTTACATACTTGAAGACTATCACCATGTCCCTTTTCGGTCTTTTCTTCTCCAGACTAAACAAACCCAATTTTTTCAATCTTCCCTCACAGGTCATGTTTTCTAGACCTTTAAGCTTTTGTGTTGCTCTTCTCTGGACTTTCTCCAGTTTCTCCACATCTTTCCTGAAATGTGTCCCCCAGAACTGGACACAAGACTCCAGCTGAGACCTAATCAGCGCAGAAGAATTACTTCTCGTGTCTTGCTTTCAACACTCCTGCAAATAATAAACCCCCAATGGTGTTCACTTTTTTTTTTGCAACAGAGTTACACTATTGACTAATATTTAGCTTGTGGTCCACTATGACCCCCAGATCCCTTTCCGCAGCACTCCTTCCCAGGCAGTCATTGCCCATTTTGAATGTGTGCAACTGATTGTTCCTTCCTAAGTGGAGTATTTGGCATTTGTCCAAAGTTCATCCTATTTACTTCAGACCATTTCTCCAGTTTGTCCAGATCATTTTGAATTTTAATCCTATACTCCAAAGCACTTGCAACCCCTCCCAGCTTGGTATCATCTGCAAACTTTATAAGTGTACTCTCTATGCCGTTATCTACATCATTGATGAAGATATTGAACAGAACCGGACCCAGAACTGATCCGTGCGGGACCCCACTCGTTATGCCCTTCCAGCACGACAGTGAACCACTGATAACTACTCTCTGGGAAAAACAACAAGGAGTCTGGTGGCACCTTAAAGACTAACAGATTTATTTGGGCATAAGCTTTCATGGGTAAAAAGTAAGGTAAGGTGCCACCGGACTCCTCGTTGTTGTTGTGGATACAGACTAACACCGCTACACCTCTGATACTCTCTGGGAACGGTTTTCCAACCAGTTTTGCACCCACCTTATAGTAGCTCCATCTAAGTTATATTTCCCTAGTTTATGAGGTGGTCATGCGAGACACTACTGCTGCCCTTTTCCAAAAAGCTTCTTAACCTGTCCAAGAAAGCTATCAGGTTGGTTTGACATGATTTGTTATTGAAATATCCATGCTGTTACATATCCCCTTATTATCTTCTAGGTGTTTGCAAACTGACAGCTTAACTATTTGCTCCATTATCTTCAAGGTACGGAAGTTAAACTGACTGGTCTGTAATTCCCTGGGTTGTTCTTATTCCCCTTTTCGTAGATGGGCACTATGTTTGCCCTTTCCCAGTCTCTGGGATCTCTCCTGTCCTCCACAAGTTCTCAAAGATAATTACTAATGGCTCAGAGTCAGCCAGTTCCTGGAGTATTCTAGGATGTATTTCATCAGGCCCTGCTGACTTGGAGACATCTAAGTAATTCTTACACTCACAGGGGTTCCCCCGCAAATCGCACTCACAGGGGATCCCCCGTCACTCTTGCCAGGGCTGGCTGAATGTCTACAACACTAAGCCACGCACAAGACCCACTGCAGCCACTACCCGCTGTGGTGATGCCCAGCGCTGCCCGTACACCAGGCCAAGTGCCGATCTGGGGGCACACGGCCTGGCCAATTGAGACCCAGCATGCGGCGGTCGGGCGGCACAGGGGTTGAAGGAGCGAGCGGATTTGCATGGGGAACAGTGTAAGGAACGAGGAGAGGCAGAGGAGGGCCCGGCAGCTGCTGGCCTGGGAATGTTCAGAGCCGGGGAAAGAGGCAGGATAGTGCTCTAAAGCAGTGGTTCTCAACCAGGGGTCCGGGGCCAACTGGGGGGAGTGGGGGGGCACAAGCAGGTTTCAGGGGGTCCACCAAAATAAACCAGAGAGGAGGGGCAGTGTTAGACTCACTAGGGCCTGGGGCTGAAGCTGAAGCCCAAGCCCCACTGCCCTGGACTGAAGCCGAAGCTCGAGCAACTTAGCTGTGTGGGCCCCCTGTCGTGTGGGGCCCTGGGCAATTGCCCTGTTTGCCACCCTCTAACGCCAGCCCTGGCTTTTAATCCACTGGATATGCTGAAAAAGGGATGTTGTGGCACAGGTGGGCCGTGGAGTTTTTATAGCACTGGGGGCCGGAGGGGGGGGGGGTGTTAAAAGGAAAAAGATTGAGAACCCCTGTGCTCAAGGCAGGCCGGGCTTCCTGAAGGAAGCGTAAGGAGCTGCAGGGCCCAGGCTCAGAGAACCAGGCTGCACGCACCTGGGGCACGGCCCAGCCAGGGCAGGCCGGAGCGAGGCATTCCTCAAGGGCGGGTGCTCCTGGGCAGGCGCTGTGCCATGCTTTACCCTGGGAGAGGTGCCATCCGTGCAGAGCCCGGCCCCCATGCAGCGCTTGGGTACCTACGAAAGGGGCCCCGAGGCCTGAGAGCCCTCCACTCTGGCCATCCATGAGGCTGCTGCATGGGGCCGAATCAGCCCCCGGCCAGCCCCCTGCACTCCACTGGCTGCTCACACTGCATGAGCGGGGTGACTTACCCTCTCCTAGCATGCTCAGCCCTCACCATGGCACGTGAACGCAGCCAGTTAACCCATTCACCTCCCTCACCCCGCCCAAGGGAAGGCGCAGTGATATTCTCTGTTAAGGAGGGGGAAACTGAGGCAGACGGGGCTGAAGACACCCTGCACAGAGGCTGGTGCAGTTCCAGAGCCAGCATCAGGCTGATCCCCCAGTGGTTACACAGCAGTGGAAGTGAGATGCAGGGGGCCAGCAGGTGTGAGTGGCAAGGGGGCAAATAGCCCAACTCGCAGCAGCTGTAAGGGTGTGCAGAACGAGGGCAGCTACACGCTGACGAGGGCTTTTCTCTATCCGCAACCTCCTAAGCGCTGCTTCCCCTCCCCACCCCACTCACCTCCTGACACCCCAGGGAGCAAGTTACACACGCCCTGCCGTTCGCCACCAGAGACCCTGCCGGGGAGCTGTCCCGGCCGACAAACGGGCCCAGGTAGGTCAAGGGGCAGATTCAGCTCCCAGTGACGTCCTGGTGCCCGTGTAACCCGCACACCTCCGGGTGGGGTGTCCTGTCCCATCTGGTGGCACCGAGACCACTTAGAGAGACTTAAATGAGTCTGCGCTACCGCCTGAGCTCACAGCCAGTTGTCTTTTCGCTCATGCTGCAGAGGCTCATGCTGGGGCACCTCCAGGACTGGCCCTTTCACAGCCCCGGCACCTCTGGGCCTGGCAGTTCACAGCCCCGGCACCTCTGGGCCTGGCCCTTTCACAGCCCCGGTGCCTCTGGGCCTGGCACTTCCTAGCCCCGGCACCTCTGAGCTGGCAGTTCACAGCCCCGGCACCTCTGGGACGGGCAGTTCACAGCCCCGGCACCTCTGGGCCATTCAGTGGAGAGCTCCAGTACCTCTGGGCCTGGCAGTTCATAGCCCTCACATCTCGGGGCAGGGCTGTTAATAGTCCCAGCACCTGTGAGCTTGGCAATTCCTAGCCCCAGAAACTCTGGGCCTCACAGTTCAGAGCCCTGGCACTTCTGGGACGGGCAGTTGGTAGCTGCAGCACCCCTGGGCCTCGCGGTTCATAGCCCCGGCACCCCTGGGCCTCGCGGTTCATAGCCCCGGCACCCCTGGGCCTCGCGGTTCATAGCCCCGGCACCCCTGGGCCTCGCGGTTCATAGCCGTGGCACCCCTGGGTCTCGCGGTTCATAGCCCCGGCACCCCTGGGCCTCGCGGTTCATAGCCCCGGCACCCCTGGGCCTCGCGGTTCATAGCCGTGGCACCCCTGGGCCTCGCGGTTCATAGCCCCGGCACCCCTGGGCCTCGCGGTTCATAGCCCCGGCACCCCTGGGCCTCGCGGTTCATAGCCGTGGCACCCCTGGGCCTTGCAGTTCATAGCCCTGGCACTTCTGGGATGGGCCGTTCAGAGCTCTGGGACCTGTGGGCCTGGCAGTTCCTAGCCCCAGCGGCTCTAGGCCTGGCCGTTCAGAGCCCCGGCAGCACTGGGCCGTTCAGTTGAGAGCCCCAGCATCTTTGGGCCTGGCACTTCATAGCCCCGGGACTTCCAGGCTAGGCACATCAGTTATGAATTTTAAAATATTGCTTGAACCCCGGCACATCTTTCATTACAAATCAACCACTGACGACACCCCAAGTGACTCACAGATGGCCTGGGATCCCAGCTCCCAGCTCCCAGGCCTGTGCTCAGGCCCCTCGGTTGCGCCCCTTTCTTATGTGGTGCCCGGCTTACAGGGTCCACAGGTTCGAATCCCAAGACCGCGAGGAGACAGAACCAGATTGAGCCACATGGCTGCTAGATGGGGCGATGGATGAACCCGATCCATCCCCTCCATCAACTACCTACAGCCCTCTCCTGCAGAAGGGGAGTCGCAGCCCCCCTGCTCCAGACACGACGGGAACATGTGACGAGACGGTACCCAGGTGGGCCATGGGCTGTGATGCCAGCCTACAGCCTGGCCCCTGCACTGCCCCCCATCCCTTCAATTCCGGCTGGCTCTGATCTGTTTAGGGGGTTATGGGGCCGAGGACACTTCCCCCCCACATACACAGTCACATGTCCCTAGGGGAGGGTAGCGATGGCTTCCCCAGCCTCACCGAATGCCAGGGATGTGCATGGTCCTGTACAGACACGTAACATGCCAGGTCCCTGTGTCCCAGAGCAGCGGGGGATGTTGTGACCATGGGGGTGGGGGGGAAAGGAGTGAGTGTGTGCTAGCAAGAGCGGACATGGGGGGCTGGCCTCTTTCGCTGCTCCTGCTATTTGGAAACAGCTGGGGCTCCTCTAGCCCCGGCTGCTGCTGCCCCCTGCTGGTGACTGGTGATGATGAGCTTTTAAGCTCCTCCTCTGACCAGAAAAAAAGGAACATGCAGGAAGGGGGGAGGACTGAGGTTCGGATTTGTAAAGGTATTTCGGTGTTGCTGCGCTCAGTGTTGCAATGCCTACCAGATCTAGGAGCCAAAATCACAGGGACAGTGAATGGGATTTAGGCTCCAAGTGCCTAAATCTCGTGGGCTCCTAATCCCCTTAGGCCTTGCGCTGATGAGCACAGCAATTCCTAAATACCTTTGACAAAGCTGGGACTTCGGGCCTGCTCCTGCTCTGGCGTAAATCAGGAGTGGCTCCACTTGGCCAGGAGGCCGACGCTCGTCAGCGTTCGTGTCCAGTCAAAAGCCGAGGGCCAGATGCTCAGCGGGCGTCACTGGCCCCAGGGCCACCGGTGGCCTAGCCCTGAGTGGGGCTGAGGTCAACGGAGCTCTGGCTGCTCACGCCTTCTGACGCGCTGGCCCGGGTTGTTGCTATAGTAAGGATTTGGCCCACAGGACTTCACAAAGGGTTGAGCCTGCACCACGGGGGGCAATGGGAGTCGCCCCCCTCCTCCCCCGGCCCGTTTCCTGGCTCAAAGTGAGCCTGGCGAGAAGAGAGGCCAGCAGATGCTGGCGAATGCTCCTGTGCCCCCCGGCCCAGAAGGGCAGCCTCATGGGACGAGAAGGAGCCATTGGCTTCTCTCCGCCCAACCCTTAGCTAATCCCCCCCCCCAAGCCAATCCCTCACCGCCCCGCCCCTCGCGTTGTCATTCCCACCCGTGCAAAGAGACCGCACACAGCCACCGCGCTGGTCGATACCCGCTTGGTGCTCGTGTGAAATGTTGCCCAAAGGAGCACGGCAGCGATGATGGGCCCCATCGGCCTGTCTCCCCATGCTCCTCAGCACCGGCACTCCCGGAGCCGGGCTCACTGCGGGATCTGAGCCCCCCGGCTCACGTTCCTCTGCCTGCCCCTCCCCCTGTACGCTCATGCTCAAATAAATTGGTTAGTTTCTAAGGTGCCACAAGTACTCCTTTTCTTTTTGCGAATACAGACTAACACGGCTGCTACTCTGAAACCAGGAAAAACAATGAGGAGTAGTTGTGGTACCTTAGAGACTAACACTTTTACTTGGGCATAAGCTTTCGTGGGTGAAAGGCTAAAATCCATACGCTGTTTACGTTACAACCTGCTATATAGACGGTGTCAGCTCTTTTTACAGGCCCAAAATCCAGATTTTGGTCAAGAAGACAGAGGCCTAGCAAATAGTGAACAATCTTAGCCAAGAAGCAGAACAAACAAAGGACAGCCTTGCTTTTTGCTAAGATAAGCTTGGTCAGCAAGAAGCCAGGTGGAAATTATAATTGGGGGTTTATCTCAAAGTTGCAAACATACCAAAGGAATGAAAGGGGCCCTGTTTCTTCTGTAGAAGAGGTGCCTTCCTACACACCAGCCTTGAGTTTATGGAAGAGGTTCAGACATATCAGTATGAGATATAATATCCTCCCTCTCACAGATGTGCACCTCTCCTCCAAGCCATTGCCAGTGCCTGCCTTAGAAACACAAATGAATATTTAAAAGACAATCTTTATTGCTATATACTTTTCATTTGTCCTTTTGCTTTAACTCCTAGGTGTGTACCTGTCGGACAATCAGGGGAGCTACTTCATTCCTATGGATTCCAAATCAGAATTCAACATATATATTTTAGACTAACACACTCTATATATTGTTTAATGGAAAACACCTGTGAACTAATTAAGTGTCATGTGTTAACTTGAAACCATGGGCAGAGACGTTATGTAACCTTTTGACCATTGGCTACTGTGCATCACCTCTTGGCCTCACTCACTCCAGAACTCAACACCTGGAAACACCTTAGGAACAAGAACTGAACGGGGAATGTGGTCCCAGGCTGGAGAGATGTCTAGCCTGTGTATGGAAGATTTCTGGACGGTTTGTTCCATCAGGGTAACATACTCCTTGTATGGAGCGTAGATTGTAATTTTGTTTATTTCTTAGTAACTAACTTTGATCTGTCTATCTTTCTGTGTAGTTAATAAATCCTTTTTTTTTTTTTTTTAACCTACCCAGTTCAGTGTGTTATTTGAAATGCAAAAGGGAAATCTGCTCAGGAACACGGGTTGGTGCATTGTCGTCTCCACATTGAGGGAGCGGACCAGGTAATAAAATTACACTAGTCAGGCTTTTGAATAGGGAAAGACGGTACAGGTCTGCGGTCCTAGGCTGGGGAACTGGGGGGAAGTGGCTAGAGCCTCTCTATTGTTGGATCATGAGTGGCTAGTGAAAGCATTCATGTAACTGCAGCTGGGTTTGCCCCTGTCTCTGTATGGCTGTGTAAGTGCAAGACCTGGAGAAGATTGCAGCTTTTCAGAGCTTCACAGTGTGAGGGGGGCACAGATTGTTGTGCCAGAGGGGTCAGCGGTACCCCAGTTCAAGGTTACACCTGAGGGAATTCCATCACACCCACCCAACGAACAGGCCCTGCTAGACTGTGAGTCCCATTTCCCTTTTGTCAAGCGCTCAGTTGTTGATGGAGAGACCATGATTACAGCAGGGAAATCAGGACTCCTGGGTTCTGTCTGTCATTCTCTGTGTGACCTTGGCCAAGTCAGTCTCCCTGGGAATCAGTTTCTCTATGTGTAAAATGGGGATATGCTCATAGTGACTTTCCTTTGCTAGGTGTTTTGAAGATCCTTCAGTGAAAGGTGCTACACAGTCTGATGATAGTTACTGATGAGAATTACTGATCTCTGGTCCCTTAGCAACAGCCCCTGTGCTTGGAGAAAGTGTTCGTGTCTCCCCTCAGGCATCTTTTTCCAGATTTCTCTGTTTACTCTCTAAGCATCCCTCCTGGGCATTTACAAGGTATCAGACCCTATGGAGATCTCGGCATTATCCCTAGTTTTCATACTAATCCACTGTATTTTTTTAAAATATGCACAAATGCACAGAGCAGCCAATTCAACGCTGACTATGCAGAGAGCCCAAGAGTTCTCATCTCCCTTTGGGAAGGTCCCTTAAATATTGTTTACTCCTAAAAGTGGATAAAGAGCACAGAAGCGCAGACAGGCTGGTCTCCAGGCTGTTTGCATTCAGATGCCGCTTCTCCAGTAGAAGCTGAGCGAACCCCCCTGGGATTGCAGAGCTGTATTATAAACGGTGCACACCCCTGTGTTGGCTCTCGGCGTGGGAGGTTGCTCTAGATGCTGGGGTGAGAGAGACGTGCGACACGGCTACCTGAGGGGGATTCCCAGAGAAGGATCTTCCATCTCAGATTCACAGGTACCCATCTCTCGCTGAGGTGCTCAGCTGCTTAACAATCCCAGTGCAATGTGGGTGTGATGGGATAGAGAATAGGTATGGGGTCCTTTCCTTTCTGTGCAGCCATTAAACATCCTAGGGCCCTTGCCACAGGGGATGGATTTGCTCCCGTATCATTGCCATAAATGTCCCTCTTTGCTGTGCTCCTCCCTCCCCTGCCGGCTCATGGCCTCCATCCCCAAGGTGGCTGCATTTCAGTGGCACAGTGAATCCTTCAGGAGGAAAGGTGTCAGTAGATGGACAATACAAAAGTCAAATTCTGAGACCGTAGCCTGTAGTTTGCTTAGGCCCCACTGAGGCAAAACTCCCCTTGGAGTAAGAACTGAGGGCTTGTCTATGTGAATAGCGTAGCTGAAGTCAACGTACTTAGATCTACTGACCGCAGTGTCTTCACTGAGGTAAGTCGACAGCTGACGCTCTCCCATCGACTCTTCTTATGCTGCTCGTTCTGGTGGAGTACCGGAGTCAACGGGACAGTACTCAGCCGTTGATTTATCGCCTCTATAATAGAAGCGATAAATCGACCCACGCTGGATCGATCGCTGCCCGCCGATCTGGCGGGTAGTGTAGACAAGCCCTGAGTAAAGGCCTCAGGAGACACTTAGGTGTTCATGCACAAAGACTGTCACCTCCTCCTCTAGTATCCCAGGGCTCTGGCTGCTACCGGCTGGGGCTGGGGGGCGGGAGATTGGACGGCTGTTACTTGACATGGGCAAGACATGCTTTCTCCTAGCTTCATTTCAGAACTTGTCTGAGATGTTACGCCTGAAATGTCCAAAGAATGATTCAGCCGGAATCAGAAACCCTGCATGGGAAATTTCAGTCCAACTGGTTAAAGTTTGGCAAATTTATAAGCAACTGAAAATGAGGTTTTCTAATGGAAGGTGTCAGACTGCCTTAACTAATGGTGGTGCTACCATCACCACCTAGAAGGGCCAATCCATTTGTGAATGCCATTCAGCGAAGCTCTTTGCTCCAGTAATGTCTGTGACAAGGAGTTCCACAGGCCAAATGTGTATTATGTTAACAATTTTCTTTTATCAGTTTTATATGTCAGACTTGCAATGTAATTGAATGGTCCACTGTTCATCTGTTATGAAACAGTGACAATAAATGCCTGCTCTACTTTCTTTATCAATAGATTCATAGAATTTCAGACCTGAAGGGACCACTAGATCATCCAGTCTGATCTCCTGCATTGCACAAGCCATTAAATTTGACACCGTTATGCCGGTATTAAGACCAATGCCTTGTGCATGACTGAGGCCTTGTCTATATAGGGTTAGAAGGGACCACAAGGGTCATTTAGTCGAACTCCCTGCAAAGATGCAGGATCTGAACCATCCCAGACAGATGACTATCGAGCCTCCTTTTGAAACTCTCCACTGAAGGAGCTTCCACAACCTATTGTGGCGTCTGTCCCTTTGTCCTCCTGTTCTTACAGTGAGGAAGTTTTTCCTGAAATTTAATCAAAATCTTATATGCTGTACTTTGAACCGATTGCCTCTTGTTCTGCCCTCTGTGGCAAGAGACAACATTTCTCCATCTTTTTATAGCAGCCTTTCAAGTATCTGAGGACAGCTATCATGTCCCCCCTCAATCTCTTCTTTTCCAAACTAAACATACCCAGCTTCTTCCGCCTTTGATCGTATATAGCTGGAGCACATGGTAATACTGAGCATAATATAATTAAATTGAACATCCCTGTGGTGGGGAAAACATCACACCAGCCCAGCACTGTAGCATTTCATTTCAGACGGGGAACCACACAAAAATGAGGAGGCGAGTTACACAGAAAGTATAAGCTACAGCTCTGAAAATGAAATCCCTGCAAGCTGCATGGAAACTTTGTGAAGACACCATAATAGAGGCTCAACTTAAATGTACACCCCAAATTAAAAAAAACATAGTAAGAGAAGCAAAAAAGTGCCACAGTAGTGAAATAGCAAAGTAAAAGAAGCAGAGAGAGGCAAAAAGGCATCCTTCAAAAAGTGGAGGTGAAATCCTAGTGAGTAAAATAGAAAGGAGCATAAACTCTGGAAAATAAAAGGAAAACAATATCATTAGGAAAGGCAAAAAAGAATTTGAAGAACGGGCTAGCCAAAGACTCAAAGTAATACCAAAAAAATACCTGTATTTAAGTCCATCAGAAGCAGGAAGCCGGCTAAACAACCTGTCAGACCACTGGACGATCGAGATGCTAAAGGAGCACTCAAGGATGATAAGGCCATTGAGGAGGAAATAAATTAATTCTTTGCATTGGTCTTCACAGCTGAGGATGTGAGGGAGATTCCCAAACCTGAGTCATTCTTTTTAAGTGACAAATCTGAGAAAATGTCGCAGATTGAGGTGTCATTAGAGGATGTTTTGGAACAAATTGATAAACTAAACAGCAATAAGTGAGCAGGACAAGATGGGATTCACCCAAGAGTTCTGAAGGAACTGAAATATGAAATTTCAGAATTACTAACTGTAGTCTGTAACCTATCTTTTAAATCAGCTTCTGTCCCAGACGGCTGGAGGATAGCTAATGTGACGCCAGTTTTTAGAAAGGGCTCCAGAGGTGATTCCAGCAATTACAGGCCAGTAAGCCTGACTTCAGTTCAGGGCAAACTGGTTGAAACGATAGTAAAGAACAAAATTGTCAGATGCATAGATTAACATAATTTGTTGGGGAAGAGTCAACATGATTTTTGTAAAGGGAAAACACGCCTCACGAATCTACTCGAATTCTTTGAGTGGGGTCAACAAGCATGTGGACTGGGGGGATCCAGTGAATATAGTGTTCTTAGATTTTCAGAAGAAGGTCCCTCACCAAAGGCTCCTAAGAAAAGAAAGCTGTCATGGGATTAGAGGGAAGGTCCTCTCATGGATTGGGAACTGGTTAAAAGATAGGAAACAAAGGGTAGGAATAAATGGTTAGTTTTCAGAATGGATAGAGGTAAATAGTGGTGTCCCCCAAGCGTCAGTACTGGAGCCAGTCCTATTCAATATATTAATAAATGATCTGGAAAAAAGGGTAAACAAAGAGGTGGCAAAATTTGCAGATTACGCAAAATTGCTCAAGATAGGCAGGCAGATTGCAAAGAGCTATAAACAAATCTCTCAAAACTGGGTGACTGGGCAACAAAATGGGAGATGAAATTCAATGTTGATAAATGCAAAGCAATGCACATTGGAAAACATAATCCCAACTATACAAGGGCAATGGTGGGGTCTAAATTAGCTGTTACCACTCAAGAAAGCGATCTTGGAGTCAGTGTGGATGGTTCTCTGAAAATACCCACTCAGTGTGCAGCGGCAGCCAAAAAAGCGAACAGAATTTTGGGAATCACTAAGAAAGGGACAGATAATAAGGCAGAAAATATCATGTTGCCTCTATATAAATCCATGGTACACCCACATCTTGAATACTGTGTGCAGATGTGGTCGCCCCATCTCAAAAAAGATATATTGGAATTGCAAAAGGTTCAGAAAAAGGCAACAAAAATCATTTGGGGTATGGAACGGCTTCCATATGAGGAGAGATTAATAAGACTGGGACTTTTCAGCTTGGAAAAGGGGGTCTGATAGAGGTCTATAAAATCATGACTTGTGTGGAGAAAGTAAGTAAGGAAGTAAAAAGAAAAGGAGTACTTGTGGCACCTTAGAGACTAACCAATTTATATGAGCATAAGCTTTCGTGAGCTACAGCTCACTTCATTGAATGCATACTGTGGAAAGTGTAGAAGATC